ATCTCTTGTGAAATAAACTTGACATATTTTCTAGAAACATATATACAAAGAACAAGCGAATGCGTTTATTAAATATTATTCCAAAACTATTGTCACTACACAATTAATACTTCAGGGAAATTAAGTTTGGATAGAATGGAATTTAATTAACAATAGAAACTATAAAGGGCAAAGTATTATTCAATTTTATCAAAAACAAACATTATTTACTTAATGCATACACCTACTGCAAATAAATAATTAAAAATCTTAAAATATCATTTAACGAATAATAACAATTTTTCAAAAACTTTTTTCTTAAAATAGTAAGGAAGTATGCTTTGAACAATGTTTGTTTGTACGCGAGATATTTGCAAATAAAATTCCATTCCTCGCGTAACACGTTCCTCAAATTCGCAGTATTTCCCAGTGAGCACCATCTTCCACTTTGTTCACGGTAATGAAAATATTTCGAATGGCCGGCGTTGCGGTTCTGCTGTGTACAGATAGATCGACGCTTGAAGCGAAACCATTAACGCGGACAATAACTTCTTCAATCGATTTTAAACTTTATTAACGGCTGAAAGTCTTGTCAAATATTTACGCGTTTTTAACAGAATTAAATGCAACCGCTCAACATTTAACTATAGGTACTCTGATCAACTTCTAGTGAGCTGTTAATCCAGTTAAAAAATGTCCTCGTCGGAAAGATGGTGTCGGTGGCAGCCACCCAGCCCGTTTTTCTCGTCGCCTGCACCCTACGAGTGGTTGCCATCGAAATCTCGCGTTTTTCGCCACACACATATATATATGAGCGAAGTTAGGGAATCATTAAGAAGAAGAATTGTCAAGTGCATTGAAGTAAGAGGTAATCATTTTAAACACATACTAAAGTACAAATAAAACGATCACACCTTTTTGTCCATTTCCTTGCAAGTTTGACCTTGAATGACCTTGAGTCATAGGTCGATGAATTCGTCTTAAAACGCACTATCTTATAGTGGATAAAAAAATGTATCATTCTATTTAAAAAAAGAAAGTTGACCTTCACTTCACCTTGGAGTGTCCACCAGGAAAGATAAAAGTTCCACCACATGATGTCCCCCTCGATATTGAACAACTTTTGTCTGAAACATTTTTGCATATAATCAATATTTTCAGAGATATTCGACTGTAATGCTTTATAATTTCCACCCTGTATACATATTAACTTAGACTATGTATATTACTATTATATAATGTATAATATTACCGAAATATTATAGAAATATGACAGTCAATGGATACAAATGTTACTAGCAAGATAATCCATTCAATGTTAGATCAACTTAGAGGTTATGGTCCATATATATAATACATCTATTATAGAAACTGTATACGGCGTTGAATTATTTTCAAATTTTACTTGTTACCTTGACACTTATCCGATATTATATATGCCAAATTATTTCAAATACTTTATTTCGAATAATTTCGTCTATGTGTGTATATATAGATTAGGAATAACATGGGAATATAGAAAATTAAATAAATATAAATTTTTATTAATAATAAGATACGTAACGGTTAAATATAATGCACAACTATAGATGACGACTAAACACAACACACGAATCTGTAACTAATTGCCACGAAGGCCAACGCACGACTATCTCTCCCAAACGCTCTTTCGATACTCAAACTGAAAAATCATTTTATTGCTCTTCGTTCACGCTTACCCTTGCATTCACGTTTCTTAAAAATATTCTAAATTACGTTAAAATTTTAGATACTACAAAACTTTCCAACAATTTACACGTTAACTGGCACGGGATCCTTGAACGTTCTATACATAAACTGTTCCTTTGTGAGAAAGATAAGGTAGAAATAATTATTAAATATTTCATGCGCAATTCTAACGTAAAACTACCTAAGTTGCTTAGAATATTAACGCTAAGTGCCCCATCGCTTTGTATTGTACATACCTATTTTTATCGTAACCAGACAAATAATTGATTATGAAATGAAGGTAAAGAAGTTAGACGATACATTTTTCTTATTGGAAACGGAAACAGAAGAGAAGACAAAGATTGAAACCCCCATTAATCCAACCATACAGGAATTAATATAAAATTAAATGAACGAAGAAAAACGCAAAATTTCAAATCAAATTTCAATATCGGTCTTTTGGCCGGTGAAGATACATTTAGTATCAAACATTTTTATTTGTCACTAATCATATTAAAATATTATAATTATTTTCAAGCAATTCAAAAATGACGAGCACCGGGAACTACCGCAACAGTCGACGCGTTAACCCCTTGGCCTACAATATCGTATCAGACTCGTGATGCAGATTTCAAATAAAATTTGATAAATATAAATGTCACTTAATTCTTCCAAGTCCGAATTGAATATTGGTTCTCTGTTATTAATTGCAATGCTTCTGAGTAAAAGTAGACATAGAATAAATGTAGCATTTTTGTCTTTTTTCACTGAATTATGTTCAGTAAAACATCTCTGTTGAGCGCAATCGAGAAAGAAATCATAGGGCAAGGGGTCAAATCGATTTTTCTAATTTCTTCTACAGAAACTCTAAGAGTGTATCTGTTCAGATTTCAATTGTCATTCAGTTTGCGTATTTCTAAATGAATTTCTTCAGTAATTTCTTAGAGAAACATCTGTTGTCTTTTCAGTAGTTGTAAAAGAAGTGTTTAGAAATAGGTAATTTTGATCCATCTAGTAGTCCTAGTGTTAAATAATCTGTTTCTGTAATATGATTCGAATATTGATGTTTATTAGTTTCAACAAGTATCGAGTTTAATAACAATAAAAGCTTGTAATGTAAAGACAAGTAACGTTTCACTAACATGTTCTTGTTGACGGTGATCAAGCCGAAAAGTTGATATCCTGAGTTCTCAAACTGCTCCACATTATGCAACGTGCGTAGTGATATACTAGAAACACTTGTGTAATAATTGAATGTAATCTATCTTTGCGAGTCAAGTTGGAGCAGTACCAAATGACTTTCCAAGGTCAATGTTGAATGGTAGATAACCGTATAACTCTAAACACCGAAGAAACGTTAACCTATTCCCATCATTATCGCATATATGTGCAGATTTTTTCTGGATTGCATCACCGGAGCGCATATGTGCGCGCTAACTTTTAGAGCATTATAACTAGAACGCATATGAACAAGAACATGAACAGTTACATTATATCTATCACTACCATAAAGATTTACTGACTTTTTATTTTGATCCAATAAAAAATATTTTTCGTGGTAAGGACCAATTTTCCACTTTTCCGTATGATGTAAATGGATTAAACACAACTTTGTACTTATCTCATTCACTTACCGTCAGATATTAATATTACTCGGTTTACATTAACACGTTGACTACCGAGTATTAGTTAACTAGTCCACACGCTGGGAGTGTCCTGTGCCGCAAAACTAGTGTACAAGTCATACAACGGGGGTATTGCAATTAAATGAAACTGTTGTACCCGAATCATAAGTTTACAGGGCGCTGTCAATATGACGCTAAACTATTAAAGTAAGTTCTTTTTCACTCGTAAATATCAATGTGGTAAAAAAGATAAAATGGTATTATAAACAATAATAACTTGGGGTACGGGGCAAGTTTTCATATTTTTTATAGTCGATGTGTTAAAAGATAAATGAACTGAATGAGAAAAATACAAGCAATACAATAATCTGGGAAATTTGTTTAAGAAAATAGAATTATTTGAGTTTAAGGGGAATATAAAAGTGTTTTTGAAATTTTACGTAGGATCAAGTAATAAATTGACGTTGATAATTGCTTACTTGTGAAAGTACACATTCTTCCAGTTTATTATTTTCGAAATTGAATAGCCTTCAAAAGCACAAAGTATTTAGGCGGGAAAATGTTATTTCACGTTTCTCATTCAGTTTCACGAGAAATGTCTTTCCCTAATCTTATCATAAATTGTGGCTCGCTCGCTGTATCATAAACGACCTAATTTGAATAATTAAAACTTACGAATTCAATGATTATAATATATTACAGTGTATTACTTGATCCTGGGTATTATACATTCATAACAACATAAAACGTCTCCGCGATCTTCCTCTTCCCAACTGCACCGATACGCTCGTGAAATTCATTAAAACGTACGCGAGATATGCAAGAGTATGCAGAATACGCGGGGCACGATTAATAAAAAATTCTCAAAAAATTCATTTAGCCCGCTTTTCCGTATAATTATATCCCGTTACAAACTCGTTATAAATTTATCATTACATTGCTAAAACGATGTAAATTACATTCTCAACATTACAATATTAGCAGAGAATTAAAGTTTCCAATAGACCATTTTTATTTTTTACAAAAACAACATTTCCACATCTCGTTAATTATATATAAATAACAAGACAGTGAATACTTTCAGAAATTCCGTTTCCTTTAACACTAGAACTACCAAGCACAAAAACTGACCTTTTAATTTCCCTTTGTAGAAACTATAATCGTCCGTTTAATAAGATTTTATCTGGCTTACATTATAGTTTGAATACTAATAGATCAACTTCTTACGCGTTACATGCGGGCCATTTTGCTCATTTCGACTTATACCAGTCACAATCAACTCATTTATTATTCAATATGTTGTCGGGATCTTTAATTGCAAATAGAAATACTTTCAATTATACGTAAAAGGAACCAAACTTTTACTTTCAACATAAAATGGTAATAAAATAAATAACATTTATTTACTATTGCTGGAGGGTACACGAAAAGGATAAGTACTTCCACACAAAATCCGTTAATAATTTCTCAACGAAGCATCTGTACTTTTTGAGTAGTCGTAAAGGAAAGAATCAAGAATGGATCATTTTAACTCATCTAATAGCTCTAGTGTCAAAAACCACCTATTTCTTCGAAGTAATTACAGTTGAGAGATGACTCGATATCTAGCAAAATTGCATTTTTAAGTTTTTACTTCAAATTCATACTTTTTATACTTCTGACTAGTTACACGTAACCCTATTAACAAATATCAAATTAGCAATCGAAAATATTAGGAATCAGGAAACAAAACCAACAGAAAACTACCTGAGGAAAGATGAAAACTAATCTATTGGATCCGCATTTCTCAGCCTAGCATTAAATGATCTATATACTATATAATTTATTTCTATAGAAACAGACGCTTAATGTTCATTCTAGGTTCCCGAGGTGTCTCCGATGACGTCAAACACTTTGAAACTCCTTATTCAATTGCCAACGCGCTTATCACCTCTGTTCCCTTCACACGGACGCTTCAACACTTCGGTCCAACCGATTTGGAGCATTCGAACGTCTACTTTTCAACGAAGACCTTAATTTATCCTCGCGGTCGAATCGAATCTATCTACCCCCGCGTTCACAGATTTTGAGAAGTCCCTTTGAACGTTCACCGCTTTAGGTCCTCCGGTTCTCGTGACTGGCTCACGTAGTCAGCGATTCGGACAGGTCGCGATTGCTGTTCCTGATCAGAATAGCGCGGACCCCCTCCGGCTTATCCCCGAGAATCGGGTTGAGTTAGTGACTAGGTCTCGAGGGGTGGCGAAGGTTCCCAGATATCGACTCCTTTGTGCGGTTAGCAATTTATATACCGCGGATAGTGATTGGCAGTACACGTAGACTGCCGATTTGGTCTGCAAACAGAAGCTTAATGCATATTCGATGGGGCAAATAGCGACGATGTTTATATTGTGATTAAGGCGGCACGCAACAAGTAATTTTCCTTAACACTGAATCTAATTTAACACTGCAGTTACATTGCATTTAGTAGTTGAATTGTATTGAGTAGAATTTAGCAGTTAAATTGAATGATTTGTACTTTATTCATACAAGTTATAAAAGTATATTTATTAATGCCAGAACTACCTGTCAGTGTGACGAATTTAGGTTTCTTATTTTGCAATTACTGAATGTTATAACAAATATGGAAGAAATATATTGTTACAATCTTCATAAGGCTTATTCAACCCCAATAAATGGTTAGTAGTTTTAGTGTTAAGATTTTGATTAATTTATATTTTGGAATACACGTTAGAAAATGAATTTATTCAATTTCTCAGGCAAGCATCTGTATCTTTACGATAATTGTGAAACAAGAAATCTGAAATGAGTTATTTTGATTCTTTTGGTAATTCTAGTGTTAGCCCCTTGCCTTAGCATTTATTTCGTAATCATAATTTCGTTCTGAAAACCATGTTGATAGAAGAATACTTTTCTAGAATATTTTGTTGTCTGATTAATGGAACCCTTTAAATTCCAACGAGGAAAGGAAAAAGCACGACGCGTCCGGACGATGTGCCAATACTCGATAAGGGAATCGATACAGCAGTTAATGTACGCAGCTGTACGTGCGCTGCAAATAAAGTGCATCGACTAGCTGTATACGTCAAAGAGAAGGTGTGCTTTTGTGCGAAGTAAGAAAATACGTATCGATTTGCCATCGGGATCAGTACGCTCGCAAGCACGGATTTAAAGGATGGGATCATTTTACAATTCTTTTTAATTGGTGTGACGTGAATAAAAATTCAACAACAGCAACTGATAGACAGTTAACATCATGTTTAAGGAAGACATTAGTAACCTTAATATGAAAATCATTTTTCGTATACTTTATGTTGAAATATGATATGAAGTAAACTTTCTTGAAATGATTTTTATGCTATATTATATTAGTGAAGTATATTTTTGAAATATCATTTTCGTTGCTCGATTACGATTTAAATCGTAGGGTTATTGTAACTGCTCGCCAAAGATAAATCGACGAACAATCAAGGCCTGATTCAACGTGAAATTACTTTCGAATTAATTCTGTCCGGAGGAAATCGTGCACTGGAAGAGAGAAAAAAGTTCAAATAAGGCAGATTGTTCGTGAATTACATAGTTTCGCGCGATCAATAAATTCAAAATCGTCGAGGAGATTTATTATTTTCACGATAAAATATTTCTACTGTCTGTAAAAATCTATTTCTTTTTCTTTGGTATGAAGAACCAATTTAATACCAAGCGAGTTTCTATTTTTACCAGTTTTTGACGATCTAATTCAGATTAGTGACTAAATTCATGTACAAATTTAAATTCAAATTCAAATTCAGAATTTAACTGTCAAATCTAAATAGGAATTCAAATTCAAAGTTCGGCAGTCACATTTAAATCGAAATTCAAATTCAAATTCAAACTTCAACGGTCAAATTCAAATTCAATTTCTTCCAATAGAATCTTCAGATGAAATTCATGCTTCCCTGAATTCAAACAATAATCTTTACATTTTTGCTGACAGCTACATCGCACTTGGAAATTTCCTCTATATTACTGGATTATCGTAAGCGTTCGCCACGTTTATTAACGATGACTGTGCATTATGTGAACCGGAAAAAACATTACATAGATTCAACACATCGCAGGAAACTTGCTACAGTTTAATAATCAGGAGAAAAAAAAACTCGTCTCTGCTGGCAAAGAGCAACCCGGATCCCGACTGTCATAATAATAATGAAATTCCTTGGCCCGAGGGGTTGATATATGGGAAGGCACGAGCGTCACTCTTTATTTCCGCGCGGAACTACGTCACGCCTAGGAACGCGATCAGCTTTCTGGTCACGTTAATTACAACAACCTTCGGCCAGTAATTTCTGTCGGCTATGTCGCGGCAGAAAGTGCATCCACGTGTAATTTAAGTTACAAGTGGCGTACGCGACGTTTACATTAATCAAGGATACGTGGACACACGTCGGGCATGTTTTGCGGCGTGCTCCCTCGACGTCTGTAATTTGATAATGGGAGGCTTCGCGATTAACGAAGAATAACGTAATTCATTTTACCGACGATCTTCTTCCAAAATAAATTCGAATTATAATCAATCATAATTTCCATCACACACGATTCTCGTCGTTTAAGAATTCTTCTCTTCGATTGTAAAATATCAGTATATCACACCAACCATTAATTCCTTTTGACAAAATGTACTACTTACCCAAATTAATCAGCTAAAATACGATGTAATATAATACAGGTTATTCAGAAGCTGTATATCTAAGTAACCGATCCGAATAATTAAGAGTACATCTTGTGAGAGTCGTTGATAGCTATTAACCTTTGGAAGCTACCATTAAAGAGTAATATGTAGCGCTATCGTAGATGAAATTTCATCCTCTTATATTGTAATAGTGTTTTAGAGATTGATAAAGTCAAGTATAGTTGAATGGTATTATTTCTTGGGAAAATTGGCGTTATCAATTGCTATTGCTAATGATACGAAAATGATCCGGCATTAATCCATTGTTATACAATACTGAGTCAGACTCGTGAGGAAATTTTCAAACAGAAGTTACAGAAATGAAATGTCATTCAATTATTTTGGGTTCAAATTGAATACTGTTTTTCTATTATTAATTGTTATGTTCTGAGGTGAAAAGGCGGATGTAGGTGAATTGGGAATTTTTCTTTGTTTTTTTAGTAAATCATTAATGACGAAGCTTTCCAGCGAGCGCAGTTGTGAAAGAAATCATAGGACAAGGAGTTAAATCAACAGATAAAAAAGTTATTTGTAGTTGAAAGTTAATTCTTGTTAGGATTTATCAACACAATGATTTTAGAAATTCGCTGTATCGCGATGACGTGCTTAATTCCTTGGTCTCCCCGAGGAGGCCGCTGGATCAAAAGGAAACACGGTTCGGGGTGCCTGATTGGATTCTTCAAGAAGGGCTGTTTATTTCCCAGTTGGATCGTTACTCGCTTTGTCGACACGATTCAATTTCCTCAAGCTGTGGACATGTTAATTGGACGCAAAATTCAATCCATATTGCTACTACCTTCTACTCTTTGAAATGACCCCCAACTTTGATCGTGAATGCGAGTTCTAGTTCCTCCGATACTTCAGGGAATTCTTTCATCAAAGGCAGAGAGAAAGAAAACGTACAACCAGATACGTTTAATCCCTCCCTTTTCTTTTTGACAAAAAGTCTAGCATTCTGTGAAAATTGTTCGAACAAAATTGAAAAATCGGTGCTGCAATCAATATTAAAGGAAAAACTTTTAGCGAATGTTCAAGATCTTTATTGTTATAAATGAAGAACTCGATCACCGCTATAAATGAAGACGTACAATTATAGTTTAGTCTGTGAAACGCTTCAATGGAGACATCTCTCCCATGTGTTTTGTCTTGGGACCGCTGCAATGGCAAACATTTCACTTTTAATTGTTTACCTGTATAGTTAACTTACGACTTAAATACTGATCAAAGATTTCGTTGGTCTGTGTGCGTTGGAAATTTCAGCGGTTGAACTAGGAAACTTTCGAGGGATCAATGGGAATTTCGGTCGTGTTACTTGCACCAGCACTAAAGTTGCCGCGGGGAAAACGAAGTGCTGAGTTCTGTGATTGTAGAGGAACTTCATGCAGTTTGTGGTTAAATCGTAAGACTTTCCTTCGGACTTCGCGTGAATTCGCTCACAGACTGGTCCCGTGAATACCAATAGTCGATTTAGCAACACACTGCGAAATTTGTGACAACACGATGAAAAAGGTTTCGAGAATCAATAAAATAAAACGCATCGGTACACATCACGTTTCAACAAAACCGAATTATATAACAGATTACAACAATGCCTAATAAATAAGAGGCAAATAAATGTTGAAACCTTTACTTATTGAAACGTATATTGTAAAATACTATAAAATCTATATTCAAGTTTTTCCTTGTATTTATCGATCGCATTGAACGTAGAAATACATAAAAAACGTTTCATTGAAACATATATAGCATAATGGATTATTTCTTTTGCAGAGCCATATTGTCGAGTGACATTCGATGGATGGTCATGTTGGCCCAACACTCCAGCGGGAACAACCGTATACGCGCCATGTCCAAATTTCGTCACCGGCTTCGATGCATCGTGTAAGTCTGTCAGCAACTCGAATTCAGCCTATTTTTTCTAAATCAATTTTCTTTAAGCAACATCGCAAAGAGAGAGGATTAAATACAAAAAGAAGTGTGGGGTCTTTATGTTACTTTAATATTTCATTTGTGTATTAAAAGAATATATAAAAATGCAAAAGAAAAACAGTCTCATTTAGGTAGGTATATAGTTTCACAATTTTCACAATTCTAATACATATATCATCTTTAAATTTTCAGAAAATATATCATATTTATAGTAGAAAAATACATTTCAGTAAATTTCATTTGAATACATACGTTCTTTAACTAGAATATCTTTATAATTTTTTTCAAACGAAGTTTCAACTGTAAAAGGGTAAATTTTTTTGTACAAAGTACCTGCAATGTCCAACATTTCCGTGAATTTGTTTTTCAAGTTAGAGTCTAAACTTTATCAACTTAATGTATATGACAGTCAATCAAAATAAGGAAGTGAATCATCAGTTTCAATCTATATAATACAACGGTTATCATCTGATAATCAAAATTTACGAATTTTCAAAACTGAAATCGCTCATACTCGTCTGATTGATAATATCGCACGCGATGCTTTTGATCGCTGGACTAGAATGCTCCTTGAATTTCTTTATTAAACTATCAAATCGATCCACGAGATCCTTAGTGTGTACTGGTCGCAACAGTTTCGCTGCAATCAGCTCGGCCTCCACCGATCCCACCTTCACGAGTCCCTCGATGACGCTCAATTTCGCGTCCTCCTTTTCGTAACCCGTGAATTCTTTCCTGCTCAAAAGATTATCCAAGACGTCCCCAATGAAGTAAAGAAATTGGGACGAGAACAGATCAATCAACTGGGGCAGTTTCTTGCCCACCTTGACCCCAAAATCAGTCGGTGTTTCCGCGGACACCTGTTCCTTTCTGTAAACTAGCAACAAGTACGAGGTGGGATCCATTAGCGGCGAGAGCGTGGAAAGGAATGCGTTCATGAACCCATCCAGCAACTGCTCCTCATTAATCACAGCCAGATTCCCTGAGATCAGTTGGTACATGAAACATCGCAGACCATAATTCGTCGGAAAGTAGCGCGGCTTCTTTGGATGCGGTACGTTCCAGCCATACTTCACAGCCTCCACTAACATATCGGTAAAGATTTTCATCCGGTGTTCGAACTTTTCCTGAGAACATACTAAGTACGTTCTCAGAGCGAATGATGTAGATGCGTTGACCCTGTTATCCACTGGGATGAAAAAGAACCTGCGCAACAGCTCTTTGTTCAGTTCTTCGGGCAGAAGATCGCTGACACTTGGAGTGATTTTGAATGATAAATTCTGATAGTACGTGTTCGAATCTGGTGTGAGTCTGTCTATTAGCATCAGCGTCAGTTTCACGAAGTCCGGGATATACTCATCGGGGACGTTAGAAATCAGTTGGATCACTTCCGAGATTTTCGATGAATCCTTTTCCGTCAATGTGGCGATCACTTGGCTGATCAAGATCCAAGTGTCGGGCCCAGGCTCGCTGGAGAACAATTCCCATACTTTAGAGAACAGAACATCCCGAATAGAATAATGTTCCTCGATTTTCCATTGCGACAGAAGGAAGTCGAACAATTGATCCCGCGACGCTGTCATATGCATTATCCTGATCCCATGTTTGCGTACGGATACCCTTTGGGTGACCAGCGTCTGGGCGAAAGCGATCACGTTTATCAACGGACTGCTTCTGCACACGTTTATCATGACACCCAAAGACTTCGACAAGTAGTCTCCCACGCACAATCGACACAATAACGTTAGAGGAACTGGTGGGTTCGAGAATTTGAGACAAGATATTGCGTATCCGAGGAGGTTGTACCGATCCCTCGCTTCTTCGTGATGAATGTCGAGCATCGGATCCGTGGGGATTAGCGGATCGACGATCTTGGTCAATGTTGGTCCACGAACAAGCATCGCTATGATGGGCAGGCACTGGCCTGCCTTCTTGTTGGCTAAGTCTTGAAGACATTGATTCAGGAACTTGAGCGGGATCTCCTTGTACCAGCGGCAGGCTCTTACGAATCTCCTCGCGCTTCTCATGTGCCAATTATTCTGGCAGTTGGATAAGTATTCTTTCCATCTGGATAAAATGCTCTCCGGATTGTTTTTCAGCGTCACGTATGCATTTTCCATGGTGATTTCCAAGACATTCTCCTTTTCTTTCGGGAAGATACGCTCGAAGAGATCTTTCTCGTGTTTCTCTAGAATTTGCCGGATACTCAGAATGATGTAGTAGTTTCTTTCCGCGTTCTCGAGTACCATCGCCTCGATCTCCTTCAACAACCAAGAATAGTTCTTGATGGACATCCGTTCCACTCGCCTATTCTCCTTCACATGTCGATCATTAAAGCTATAGATGGATACAACCAGATCGTGTAAGATCTCAGATTTCTTGTCCTTCCAAGGATTCTTGTTGGATAAGTAACGCTGATAAGCTACGTTCAGGCAAGCTTCCATACACACTCTCTCGTACTCGGGATGGTTCTTAATTATATTCCACTCCTTGTTCCACCTTTCACTCTTCAAATCCACCAGTATGCCGATCTCCTGATCGATCGGCTGTCTATTCAGGATCCTAAAGTAAATCGCGGACTCGACGATGTCTAAACCGACGTGATTCCCAAACGTCAGTTCGTTCTTCACATGTGCCCGTAGCACGATATCTATTAGAATCGCCCAGATGTCCGGCTTAAGCCGCGGTAGATCGTAGAGGTCTAGCAGAGCTTCAAAAACCTTCATCAAGAACCAGGATTGCTCGTTCTTGTGTCTGTCCCTGATGTAGACCAAAACCTCCAATAAAGCTTGATCATCGTTATTCACCCGGCAATTGCAGATCATTTGACAAACCAATCCTGCCCTGTGCTCCATAACAGAGGTATTTGCGATCTCCGTTTTCAGCGCGGGTATCGTCTCTTCGACGGGTAGGTAACACCTCCACGCGTACCTGTAAGACAGCGGATCAGACTCAATATCTTTCTCCAGCTTGATTCTGGCTTGTCTGATACGCTCGTTGGCCGGCAGTAATCGCAACAAATCAGGCGTCACGTTGTGAATATCGTCGAAAATGTTTTTACCGTAGACGTTGCGATACGATTTGATAAGGAGATCGGCCTTCTCGTCCTCCGGATAATAATGCAAATAATTCAACATGTGATCTGTGCTGAACGACTTGCCAGTTTCGGGGAACAATTTCGGGAACATGATCTTCATCCGCGATGCGCTGATCATCTCTAACGGTATCATGTCTATGAATAGTTTCGGTTTCCGCAGCAGGTGATCTTTACCATTCTTCAAGAAACAATCGAGCTGCTTTTTGTTGAACTCCACTGGCGGCGGATTCTTTTCGTGCATCTCGAGCAGTTCCACGAACGAGTCCAGCCGTTTGTGGACCAGGGCCGCTAGAAAGTCGCCCATGTATAAAATGTCTACCTGATGGAGCTTTCTGTCGTTAGAGCTCCGGTTTGGATTGCTCAGCTTGAAGTAACGCACGATCAAGTCGGGATTCTTGCGAAAGATTACCTCGACGAGCTTCCGGCTCAGCTCGATCCTCTTCTCCACTATCGTACGATATACGAAGTTCTCACTGCAGACTACCAGCAACGGTAAAGCCTGCTTGAGGCCGTAAGCTGAGGTAACGGCAGTGAAGAAAGCTTCGGCGAGAGCCGGCTCGTTTCGCAGGAAAATCGATAAGGATTTGATTATGCGTATCCTGGCCTTCATGGAGACATACGGGAACAACTGATTGAAGAAGTATTCGACGTTCGTAATCGTTTTGTTACTACCGTCGAAGAAGCACTTCGCTTGCAACGCTTTCACAACAACCTCCCAGTCTTCGGACTTCAATGCTTCCGCTATGGCTGCATAGTTATCCTGATTTGTAGGATCTCGTTTATGCAAGAACTTCGCCGCCTGCACTTGTACCATGGGCACCAATATCCGGGGAATTTTCTCCGACTCGACCACCTCCTCTAAACTGTTGTACTCCGACATCCGTTCCTTCAACAATTTCGCTATCCATTTGTACTTTGCGCCTGGTGTGTCGCCAGGTATCGCTTGGAGCGCGTCCAGGTATGGCGTCTGGATCTCCATCTTCCCTTGGTGTTCAGCTGTTCGAACATTTATTGTTTCATTAAGTAGCAAATATATGGGACATAATGAATACACTAACAGGGGAAGGACCCGAATTGCCCCCCTGGGATTTTAATGATTTTTAAGATTTTAAAGATAAAGATGTAGATAATCAATAATTTAGAAGATATAAGCATTTGAAGTTAGATATCTTCAATAAGTACCGTGATTTTAACATTTTTCTTTCGAATACACAATGAAGACGCGCAGTATCTCCTTGGCTAGAAATTCGACATTCTTGAGTTCGATTCCTCTCTCGGATTACTCACTTTTTTTTCCTCTCAACTTCTGAACTTTTAACTCTAACATAGGTACACACGATGCTGAGTGATAATTGTCATACATACACAAAAAAACAGAAAAGTCTGACACCAAGAATACACGAAGGTATTCATTTTAAGATACACAACTGATATCTAATCATTTTTAAATATATCGATGCTCGCAATTGTGGATGGATAAGGACATGTAATTTAATACAGTCTGATCAGATAGATAGGTCGCGACTTAATGAAGAAAGTTTATAAAAAGTTGGGAGGAAAAAAAGTGATCCGAGAAAAGGACTCGAACTCAAGAACGTCGGATTACTAACCGAAGAGTTACCCCACGTCTCTAATGCGGATTTTGAAGAACAACGTTAAAATTACGGTACTTATTGAAGGTATCTAACTTCAACTGCTTATATCTTCTAAATTATTGGTTATCTACATCTAATATTTTATACATAATATTAGATACATGTATATTATTATCCTGCAAAAAATTATTAAAATTTGTGGGGGACAATTCGGGTCCATGCCTTGTGAGCATTTTTATGAGAATTAAAATTTTTTAATTCTCTTTGTCGGTAAAGGCGATCAATTTCTAATTTGTAATTTATTCATTAACGATTTTATTTGATCAGAAGCAACGCAGGGGATCGATTAAACGTTTATTAAGATTTATATCTTGTTTTATTCGACAGACTTCTACAACCATTTTCGATACCACAAACATAAGGCAACAGTAACGTGTAAGTTAAAATAATGAGTCAAAACAGAAACTCAACAAAATGTAAAATTTTTAAAAACATGTGTATAAGGTGTCATGTAACTGGTGATACTGGGTACGGCTGATTCTATATCAAAAAGTAAGTCAGAAATATAGAATAATAGTGTCTCACTTGACACTTCGTTTTCGAAAAAATTGACTTCAAAAATGTACTCGGTACAGGTACCCTCGATCAAGTCCAACCTGACGGATATCACTGTAGACCGTCCTTGTTCCTGTTAATGACCGTTCTTAATATTTTTATATTATTTTAGATCAATTGAATAACAAGAGCATATAATGAAAGAAAATTTTCATTATTAAGGAATATTTTATTAACTTAAAAATTGTTGAAAATGATGTCTATGATTTCTCAAAAACAATTGTGTTCTGATTAAATTTCTACGTTCATTTTCTAAAGTATTACTTTGTAGTTTTGATTTTTCTGACGCTATAATGATACTTTCTCTTAACAAGAATCGTCACACAAGAATCACATCCGTATACTCTCGGTTATTGTATGTCGTTACAAGTTGCAACTAAATTGTTGTGCACAAATGATAGAGCGTGTACAACTCGCAAAATTAA